CCACCGCCAGGCCACCGCAAACAGGCCCGGCATCAGCGGGTCTCCCTGTTCCCCGCCTTCGGCTTGGGCGACTTCGTGCGCGTGGCCAGCAGAATCATAGAACACGTACGCGCTGTCGCCCACATAGAACTGGCGGACAAAGGGGATCAAGGCGGCCAGTCGGGCGTCCCGTCGCAGGCCCTCGAACATCGCCGCTCGGGCGACGTGGTCATAAGCGCCAACCCCGTCAACGCTGACAACCGTCGTTTGCGGGCGCAGTTCGGCAGAAACCGCCAAGGCCCAGGCGAGCGCCTCCGTTCCTGCGCGGGTGGACAACGCGTACTGGAATGGCGCGCACACCGCCATGAACGCGTCGGAAGCCTGTTGCGCCAAAGTCCGCGACAACAGGCGTCGGAACGTGTCCCCCATGACCAGTGCCCGGATGCCCCCGCCAGGCTTGCTCAGCGCAACCAAACAGCCGAAGCCCTTCGACAACGGACCCCGGCATGCAGCCCTCCGCCAACTGCTGGGCGGCGTGACACAGCCGTTCCGACAGGACTGCCGCCCGGTTTGTTTTGTTTTTTTGTTGGGTGGTTGTTTTTCTCACATGCCTTTTTTTCCGCGCTCCTTTTTGAAACTGCAAGTCACATCGCAGTCCCAGTGCACGCGCCCAATGCCACGGCAGCAAAACCAATTCACGGCATGCGGCTGGCGAGGGGAAGCTGTTCGGAAGAGTCGACAAGAACGTCACTGAGCAGCGGTGAGACGCCATCCACGCTGGCAGTGCCGGACAGTGGCGAAACACCCAGACGGTGGACAAGCGGCAAGGCGCTGACACCGGCATCTCGCTGCCGTGAGCGGGAGTATTGTGTGGGATGTTATACTAGCATAGACATCCTATGCGGCGGGCCTACGCGTGAACTCATGATAGTGGCTGCGCAGCTGCGCGCGGAGTATCGAAAGCGCAACGGGCAGGTCCCAACTTTCTCATTCATTTTGGAGATAAAAGCCGATAAATTTAGCATTTGGGCGCGAAAGACTTTCGCTCGAGCTCGAGGGGTGTATGGATGCGGACGTGCACATCCATGTTTCGCATGCGAGGACAACGAATGGTGCCCAACCGCTAGAACGCGTTGCCATTTCAGTTTGAGGACTCTTTTCTGGGCCGCTGCAAACTTGATACGTTGAGCTTCCTTCGTGAGCCATGCAGATTTGATGTCGCGAGTTTCCTTTTTGGGCCGATGCAGATATGATACCCGTGCCTCGGATTTCCTTGTTAGGCCCAACATGAAGCGTTGCTAAGGAGCTGCGTGTGCCTGCCCAATCCCTGCCTTTGCCGGCGTTCGTAGGATTAGGGTTTGGGGCTAGACGCTGGCGTTTGTGCTTGCCACGCACAGCAACATGCTCAAGAGGCTGCAGCAAAATGAGCCTGACGATGGGGACGCTGGTGGCCTCAAAAACAAGTCGTGACATGTCGTGACTCAACAGCACAACGTTGCACGTGTCTTTTTCGGCCACAAGCATATCTCCCCGGGAAGTTCCGTTCGTCCCCCTGTGTTTCGTCGTGCTGCACATGACGTGCTGCTGGCATTGAATCGTTTTCCAGTAGGCGCCTGTGCCTTCGCCGCATGCTTCGGTGCCGTCAGGGCAGGCACGTGTTTAGCGGCACCCCGTGCCGGCGCAACATGCCGATTGCACTTCTCTCGGTCGTACTCCAGCAAACTGGCGCGCATGGATGCACCCAATGGTGAATCCATCAAATTCCCCAAGTTTGGTGCACGATAGGATCGATAGGCTACCCCGTAATCACGATACTGTTCCGTAGATTTCGCTGCGGCGGGAGTCGACGCTGATGAAACGTCCATACATTCCCCCCCTAGTGAGCTAGACTCCGATGCCGCGGGTATCCGAGAGCACTGCCCTTCCAAACAGCATCCACGTCGACGTGGAGCCTGCGTTGCCACAGCCCGCTGCGCTTCCTGCCCCAGATGCCTCGTCCGACGAGCAGCGAGCGCACCACAGTCCAACCGAATCTAACCCATGCTCACTTTGCACCATGGTGCCCTCACTGCATGGCTGGGTAGGCCCCGGACGCCCGGCATCGACGCCCACGCAAACGCTCCGACGTGCTATTCACACGCGCGCCGGAGCAAGGATGAAGCAGGAGTGCCATTACATTTACATGGCAAGCACAGTACTTTGAGGTTTTGCGACCTTGATAAGTCAGGACTGTCCATGCACCGAAACCATGAGATATTTGGTCAGAAATGCGCTGCGCTGCGGCTTGGGTTTTGGAGACATCGAGGCGGTTAAGTAAAACTGCTTGCCCCGCACATATTCTGCATCATCGGGCGGACATGGATGCTCTGGCAACACGAACGTTATCATCGTGCGAACATGGATGCTCTGGCAACAAGGACGTTATCATCGTGCGGACATGGATGCTGTGGTAACACGGACGTTATCATCGTGCGGACATGGGTGCTCTGGTAAGAAGGACGCTATCATCGTGCGGACATGGATGCTCTGGTAACACGGACGTCATCATCGTGCGGATATGGATGCTCTGGTAACACGGACATTATCATCGTGCGGACATGGTGCTAACACGGACGCTATCATCGTGCGGACATGGATGCTCTGGTAACAAGGACGTTATCATCGTGCGGACATGGATGCTCGGGTAACACGGACGTCATCATGGTTGCTGCATGGAAGCTCTGCGAAAACAACGGCAGGCGCGACGTTTGCGACTGCAAAGTCCCGGAAACACCGTAAGTACCGACGCATTCGATGCCTCCACGCCCGCGCCGCCACCACTCCCCGAAAAACACGACTGGCGCGACAGTTTCGGTTGAAATGTCCATGAAACACCGCAAATACCGATGTGGTCGGCGTGTGCGCGGCGCGCGTGAACAGCACGTCGGAGCCCCACACAAGCATGAAGATCCCGAAGTGCAAACGGCATAAACGGCCACATTTGTTGAGAAACATTTTGCAATCAGAAAAAAATGATCCCAAAGCTCGTCCGAAATCCCGCGCAAGTCAAAGCTGTTCAATTTCAAATGGTCAACGAAATCAAAGAGAAGTGTGTCAATCGCGATTCGCAATGTGCAGACAAATAAGACATATTATGTCCAAGAGCTCGTGCAGCACCACGCCCTCACAGTCGGCAAAAAAACAGCTGCTTAATGTGGCGTGTCGTCGTGTGCAGCTTGGGGTGTCTCGCACCGCCCCCAGCAGCAGGGGTGGCATGTGACGCCAGCCGGCCTTTTGTTAGGTTTCTTCTTTGCCCCGCTGGGAACGTGAACCCGGCAAATTGTTCAGCGACGCATTTGGATGCTCCCTTGAAGGGGCTGTGTTTGGTTGACGTGAGAGTGGTCAACATGAACACATCAAATGTTTTTTTTGCCTGCATAACCAGCGGGGAAAGTTCTTGCCGTGGAAGCTCAACTTCGAAATTGCCGTTACAGCCCACATGTGTGTCATTCGCAACTAGCATAGTACTCTTGTTTTACTCTTGTTTTCCAGACGGGCATTCAGTTGCCGCTTTCCTGCACCGGTTCGCTGAGGCTGTTGCTACAACCGAGGGCGCCAGCGCTGCCGTGATCAAGTCACGCCTTCTGGAACAGTTCGCCCTCGCAGTCGCAAGAAGCAACGGGCGTGCTGTGAGGCGGCGCCGCCAAGATCAGGAAGTGCCAGCGTGCCTCAACACATTTTTGTGACCTGGCACACTGTCGTTGCCGTCGACGCCATGACGAGTTCGGTGACCATCTCGCTGCATGCCCCCGCTCCGGCGTCCTGCGAGCCAGAGGTGCCCCACTCGGGCGTGCGGCAGCTCGCGTCTGCCGTGAGGCTGGTGCGACCAACGTCTTGGTGCCGGACCTCAATTTCGTTCCTTCCCGGCAAGACGACCGCCGCACAGAGGTCATAGCGAACGGCTTGTCTCTGTGGGGAAGGGTCCAAGTCGCGGTTGACACAACCCTCGTCTCCCCCTTGTCCGCAAACGGTGAGTTCCGCCGTGAGGGAAGGCGGACTGCCGGAGCAACCCTGTGGGCCGGGCTCAGGAGCGCACTTACCCAGATTTCTGCATATTTCTGCACCTCCGGCCGATGCCGCCTCGTCGTCCTCAGGCGGTCTTTGGAAGCCGCTGTCTTCCTCCGTTTCCTCGCCCGGTGCCGAGCCCGGTCAGCTCCACCACCACTGCAGAGTGCATGCATCTCGGCCTACGTGCTTCGGTGGTCAGCCCTCCTTGCATTCGCCTCTGCCCGTGCCTTTGCGACCAGCCTGCTCTCCCTGCCACGCGCCGGTGCAGCCATTGTCGATGGAGATATACCCCCCCCCCCCCCAAGAAATAGGGTTTGGGGTGGGGGGGTCACCTGAGGGCCCACCTATAAAAAATAGGTAGCAAACCTATTTTGGTCAACGTCCCCACCCTAACTAAAAATAGGGTTGAGAGAGTCGAATGTCAACAGAAGGAGGAAGAGAGAGAGAGAGAGAGAGAGAGAGAGCGAGAGAGAGACGCACAGAGAGGCTCATGAGAGACACATTGTGAGCCATGCAAAGCGTGCGGAGCACTCCAGCGTGTTAGAGTGGTCCACCCCCCCCCTGCCCCCCTAGGCAGGGGGTATTGGAGATCCCCCTCTCCTCAGCGACCTCCTCGCCGAGTCCTCGGCCTCTCCACCTTTGGCATCCCACATGCCCGCGTGACCGGCGTACGCGTGCTGCCGTTCGCACCGTGCCACAAGGGGGAGTGAAGAATAGCGAAGACAACTTGTGTAGCTACACAGCTACACGACCCACTAGATTTGTGGGGCGGCCCTTGCAAAATACGGGATGATCGACTGACAAAGTTTGCGGCTCCATGCTTCCGAAACTATGTGTGATGGGTTGACGCCGCATGTGATGTTGAGTGGTGGAAACATATAAACGCTGAATACATAGAAATGATCCAGTGACAATGTAAATACCTTTAGTTCGCGAGCGCTTTTCTTTTCCAGCAACCTGTCCCATGTCCTCAGGCAACGGTCGCAGAACTATCCCGAACTTGGGTCTCGTCACGGAGGCTGGGCCCACAGCACTTGTCGCGAAAAAACGCATGAGACTGCTGCGGCGCGACAATTTTTTGTTGGAAATTTATTCATAACGGGCCACTGAACCAGGCGCCCATCGGTCGCCATGTTTGCCTCAGCAGAAGAGGCGATGCTGCACCACGACCAGCATGACCGACTTTTTGCGAATCTTGATGGTATTCCGCTATGCGCGCAACAGCCTGTGGAATTAGCAGTTCTGGCAAAGCATGTGGTTGAGCATGGGGTTTAGCCACTGAAGCAGGCGCCGCAGCCACGAATGGCCAAAGACAAGCCATATGCAGATGCAGTGCCATGCACCCGGCTTTGTTTGGGGCTGATGTGTTTTCTTAGCGGATCCATGAGCGGTCCGACATGTAAAAAAACGCATTGTGCGCTGCAATGCTGCAACATATACTGTTGTTCAGGATGGCTGCCTGGCAGGCAGACCCTTCGTTGCAGGCAGGGGCCGAGCCATCAGCACAAGAATCGTACGTGATGTGTCTGTTCCAAGGATAGCGCATCCGTTGTCCTCGAACCGTTCGTGTACGAAGACGAGGCATGGTTCGGTGCTCCGAGTTGCAACAACGGGCAGACAGGTGCACTGCAGTCAGGTTGGCGCTCGCCGGCTTTATGGACGGGTGGTGAAGCCCGCCCAGCCGAATGGCGCTGGAGTGGTCGCTGCCTCACATTGGTCCGCGCGTCGTCATTTTCAAGCCGTTTTGCCGCGAGGTCATTGTGCATACAGCAGTTGGTCCGCGTGATGTGTGCCCTGCTTCCTTCTGTGCAAGGAATCCCGCAAAACCCACGGAGAATCCCCACAACCGTGTCGCCGACTTGGAGAATCGCAGAAGAATGCCACCAACAACCCCATTGAGACCAAGTTCTTGGGGCATCAAAAGTCTGCACCCGTAAGTGCCGCAAAACTCACCGGAAAATTCCGCAGAAAACCACGCCGAACAACGCAGAATATCCGTGGAGCGCTCACCCAAAAGAGGAACCATGCAAAAAAATGTCTCACCATACCGGATTTTTGGAATATGGTGCATGAGAACCTCAACTTTTTGACATGACTTGATGTGCGCTTTGTTTGGAGGTACCTGCATTGGCGAGCGGAAGTTCTTGCTGCCGGCGGTTACACGGTGTTGGTTGCCGATTTGCTGGGCGACGAGCATGGCGCCGAGACAAGACAGCTTGAAAAGGGCAGGCACACGTTGCTCCAGTCTGGAACGTTTTTGATTGTTTTCCCGGTTTACTATTATCCTTTGGGGGTATAACCTTTAGGGTGCATATTCTTATTAAAGGCTTTTTCATACTGTTTCCAAGGCTGGGCCGTGGATGGGAGCGCAAAGCTCAGCACGCAGTGTTGTGGTGCATGTTGGGCCCAGCGCAGCCTCAAGGCCCGAATGGGGCGCTGCTGCACGCCAGCCGCTGATGGACGACCGTAGTCTCAGCCGGAAGAGGAATCCGTGCGATACTCTAAACCTTAAACCCTAAACACTAAACCCTAAACACTAAACCCTAAACCCAAAACCCTATAGACCCTAAACCTTAAACCCTAAACCCTAAACCCCAAACGAAGAATTGCCGTCAGGGTGTGAGTTGTCCCGCAACATGTTTTTTTTGTTAGCAGTTCGCAAACTGCTAATGCTGATATGCGACGAGCGATGTGCTAGCCATATGCCACCAACCTCATGGCAAACATGGCTGGAGGAATTTCCTTCAGTGTCGAAAGTGGTTCAACGACCCCATTTGAGAGCTGTGAAAATACAGGCCCCTTAACAGTAAAGGGGCACCCTAAACCCTAAACCCTAAACCCTAAACCCTAAACCCTAAACCGTTGCATGGACTGTTCGGGGCAGCTTGAAGCAGCAGCCTTGCACCAGGATGCGCGCCTCTGTCCAAGCCATGTCCGAAGTTGAAGGCCACATGGGTTAGGTGATGTTTTCATGTTCCTGTCGTGCATGTTTGAAGCCTTTCTGTTCTCCAGGCCGCCGGCCCAGCAAATCATGCAGTGGTGACAGTCCGTTCAATTTTCAGCCAGTTCGTTTGCACAACAGGTGTCGATCCACAACGTATCGGTGCCATTGGTTACTGCTTCGGTGGCCGTGCTGTTCTGGATTTGGCCCGCCTTGAACCCAGTTGCCTGCCGTTTGGAATCGGAAACTCATGAACCCTGAGCATGGGTCATATTCCTATACTATGCATTACTTTTTGGTAAAATAGCCCCAAAAACCCCCTAAATAAGAGCTCCTGGAGCCTTAGGGTTCAGGAAAACCCTAAACCCTAAACCTTAAACCGAACCCTAAACCCTAAACCATAAACCCTAAACCCTAAACCCTAAACCCTAAACCCGTTGTTTTAACCCTTTTGGGGTTCATGTGGTCCCCCGCGTGCATTGCGCTGCGAAGGTTTGGGCCCTGCATCCGGAGTTGCAGCTCGGCCCTTAGAGAAGTCGGGTGTAGGGTTTAGGGTTTAGGGTTTAGGGTTTAGGGTCAAGCATCCCGGCTCAGTTTATGCGACCTGCCAATCAAGGCCGTGGCTTCCTTCCACGGCATACTTGATGACGGCGTGCTGCCTCCAGAAGATATGTCGGACAAAGATGCGCAGCACCCTCAGTGCTTGTTCGGCGATGTGCACCCTAAACCCTAAACCCTGAACCCTATAACCTATAAACCCTAAACCTTAAACCCTAAACCCTAAACCCTAGCCACAAACAAGTTCCTGCACGTTTGGGCCTTCCGTGGGGCAAATGCTATAACCAGACATGATATAACAAGAGCACCCAGAGAGCCCAATGCCCATATAATCCTTCCTTTAGGAATTTAACATACAGGGCCTCGTCAAGAATCAGGGTGCGTATTCTCAATGATTATTCACGTTTCTCCTGTGATTAACTGCTCAAAAACTATCAGACTCTGAACCCTAAACCCTAAACCCTAAACATCCCAAAACCCTCAACCCTAAACCCTAAACCCTAAATGGCGCAGCCTTGCCCAGGCCGCGTGTGTTGGTTTGCCACGGCGATGCCGACCCCTTTGTCAGCGCAGACGGACGGGCCGCGCCAGACACTCAACGGAAGGCTTTGGAGAGCGGCGCCAAAAGACCAACAAAACCACTGCTTGTGAGAGATGTGTGGAAACAAGCAGACAGAGGACACCCAGCAGACTTTCGAGACAAAGAACAGCTGGCACTTTAGATGCTTCTGGGGTTTAAAAAGGGAGTTGCTCTTTGCATGCCACCGCCTGACATTTTAGATGTTTCTGGGGTTTAAAAGAGAGTTTTGCTGTTTTGCATTCCGCCGCCTGTGGATTTTCGTTGTTGCTTTTGTTTGGTAAACCCTAAACCCTAAACCCTAAACCCTAAACCCTAAACCCTAAACCCTAAACCCTAAACCCTAGTGGCAGTCACCGGCGAGGTTCGAACAACAGATGCGGTCCGCCAATGCCCGGTGGGCCAGCAGCTTACAACATTCGGTTCAGGGTTTAGGGTTTGGGGTTTAGGGTTTAGGATTTAGGGTTTAGGGTTTAGGGTTTAGGGGTCAAGACAGTGAAACAGCATGGGGTTTAGGCTGGAGCGTTTATAGGGTTCAAGGTGCAACAACCATGTCTCGTAAGACCTTATGGAGACATCATTGGGCTCCCACTGTGTTAGCGTATGCATGATTATCTTATGGGCGCCTAGAACCCTAAACCCCAAACCCAAAACCCACAGTTACATGTGATTTGGCTCCGCTGTCCAGGACATGCTGGTCTTCGGTGGGGTGCGGCACGGCTTCACAAACCCTGCGCAGGCTCGCTTGCTGCGTAGCTGAAGGCTCCAATGTAGTTCCTTTTGGGGTGAGTTATAGGGGATTCTAGTGTACTACCCCAAAATGGTACTACATGGGAGCCTTTGGGTCTGTTTTTTGGTATCAGGGTGACAGTGGAGGACGACTTCTTGAATGTCAAGCCTGCCAGGATTTGAATCCGAATCCAGCCTTTGGTTATTCCCCAAGAGCAGCTGCGAGGTCCTGGAGGGCAATGGAGGAGACGATTTAGGGCTTAGGGTTTAGGGTTTAGGGTTTAGGGTTTAGGGTTTAGGGTTTAGGGTGCCTGCGAACCTGTGGTTAACATCTTTTGTTCAGACCTTCCAACGGCATCCTCGCCCACACTCGCCCGCATATGCCAGTGGGAGAGTCGCAGCCTTCCAAACCCTACACCCCAAACCCTAAACCCTAAACCCCAAACCCTAAACCCCAAACCCTAAACCCTAAACCCCAAACCCTAAACCCTAAACCCTATAAACCCTGAACCCTGTACCCTACAAGCGTGTTTTCATATGCTCCGCATGGCTTCCCCGCAATCTTCCTGAGATCAGCCCAAGTCGAAATCTGTTCCTTGGACAGGAGCTATTCGCAGAAACGTTGCACGAGTGATGCCGGCGGGGAAAAAAAAAACCTGCACAGCAAAAACGCGCCCAGATGCGTTTTTGGGAGGTTTCTGTCAGGTATTTAAATAATTACCCTAAACCCTAGACCCTAAACCCTAAACTTTGTGTGGCTTTACGTTCTCAGCAGGCGCCACACTTGTGAAGCGCCTTGGGCTAGGGCTTAGGGTTTCAAATTAACCCCAAGAGGTGCGGGCTTCTGCGGTTTGCGCTGAAAAGGGCCTTATCGGTTGTGTAGCTTCCTTCCGGGGACCACCCTAAACCCTAAACCCCTAAACGCCTAAACCCCTAACCCCTAAACCCCTAGTGTCAAGGTTACAGGAACCCTTAAGGGGGCACCATAGCCAGGTCCCTGCAGGCAGAGGGTAAAGCCACAAAGTCAGGTCTCCATTCGGCGCCAGCTTCTATGGGAGTTGAAGATGAAGCTCGCAGCTGTCCTGATAAGTTAATCCTACTGTTTGGGGACTGTTGTTAGGGGTGCCCTTACTTCCCCAAAGCCCAAAGCCCAAAGCCCAAAGCCCAAACCCTAACCCCCAAACCCCAAACGCCAAACCCTAAACCCTAAACCCTAAACCCTAAACCCTAAACCCTAAACCCTAAACCCTAAACCCTAAACCCTAAACCCTAAACCCTAAACCCTAAACAAAAAAAAAACAAAAAGAATTAAACAAAAAGACCTACGCACACTCCGCATGCCCTGGCTCCCAGTAACCGGAGAGTCGCATTCCTCGCTGGGAGCGCTGGTGCCGCGAGCTCAGGATGCCGAGGGAGACTTCCCTAAACCCTAAACCCTAAACCCTAAACCCTAAACCCTAAACCCTAAACCCTAAACCCGTGCGACTCAGGGCTCTTTCCCCGGGGTTGAGGGTTTAGGGTTTAGGGGTTTGAGGGTTTGAGGGTTTGAGGGTCTAAGGGTTTAAGGGTTTAGGGTTTGGAGCTGAGAGGGTTTAGAGGGCTTCAGGGTTCATATGAAGCAGGGTTTACATCAGTCTTCTTGGTGAGTGTATGTAGGGTTCCATTATAAAATCTTGGTGAGTGCCTATAGCGGGTGTCCTTTTGGGGGGGATACTAGTCGTAGCAGCGCTACTTTATATGGGCCCCCTAAGAAACCCAACCAGAGCGCATACTTCGGTAAGGGACCGGAAATAATAGGGGCCCATATGACAACTACCCTCCGAATCCCTAAGCCCTAAGTTACTAAGCCCTAAGCCCTAAGCCCTAAGCCCTAAGCCCTAAGCCCTAAGCCCTAAGCCCTAAGCCCTAAGCCCTAAGCCCTAAGCCCTAAGCCCTAAGCTGTAACCCTGTGCTAGACAAAGAAGCGCTGAGGGCAAGAGTCACAATTTTTTCGTAACTCTTTACGGGGTGTTTCAAAGGGGGGGGTGTGAAGGTTCCCTAATGCTCCCTGCTACTCCCTAAGGCTCCCTAAGCTTCCTCAAGCCCGAAAGGTTCCCTAGGTACCTACCCTCCCCCCCCCCCCCATGAATCCCCTCCCTTTAGAACCTTACAAACTTGTCCGCAGATCGGCCTCTAATACATCCCTACCAGGATGGGCTACTAGGCCTTAAAATCCTCAGAATGAACCCTATAAAGGGCCTTTTGTAAAAGGGATTATAGGGTATAATCGGCCCATCCTGGTAAACACCCAACAAGCTCTGGTACAAGCTTACAACCGGTCAGCCCCAGAAGTGCTTACACGCCACTTTGCCTTCGGTCATACTTTTTTTGTGTTCAGGCTTAGGGTTTAGGGTTTAGGGTTTAGGGTTTAGGGTTTAGGGTTTAGGGTTTAGGGTTTAGGGTTTAGGGTTTAGGGTTTAGGGTTTAGGGTTTAGGGTTTAGGGTTTAGGGTTTAGAGAGGGGGGAACCTCGTTGTGAGCTTCCATGGTGTCTCGGTGTTGAGGCCATGAGCGGATCGCGCACAACTTCCAAAGAGTCAAAGGACTCGAAGTTGCCAGCTTTGCTGACTCCCGCGGCGCCCCCAGATTCTCTGAGTGGGGAGTTAAAAGCGTTGGACCCGCTGAAAAACAAGCGCCAGTTGGTGCCTTATAACTTCCTATAACTAATACTAACTTTTCTATAACTTCTTATAACTTCCTAGAACTTCCCTACAGCTTAAATGCCTGATTCCGTGCGCGGCCCTCAGATCATGCATCGGAAAGCCCAATGTGCTACCTACCACGAACCAGTCGGTTTCGGGTGCAGAGTGGGCTGGCAGAGTTTTCCTGAGCCTCTAGCTGCTTTCTTTAAAGCTAAAGGGCCCCTATTCAGCTTCCCAGTGCAGAGCACTTCTAGGGTTTAGGAGTTTAGGCTTTAGGGTTAGGGGTGTAGGGTTTGGGCTTAGGGACGCCTACTGAAGGAGTTAGTTTGGGGAACATGTACCTTCGGGACCAAATGGACACTACATTGGTCTGCTTGGGAGTTTTCTGGTGATGCAGGGAGTGGTGAGGAGGCCTGTTGCAAAACAAAAACCAAAAGGTGTTTAGGGTTTTTTGCTGATGCTATGCTTCTTGTTTGGGCTTGTTCATGGCAAGAGTCGTTGGGGTTAAGGGGAGGAGTTGCGCTTTAGGCTCCATAGGGTTGACGAGTTTAGGTGGCTTGGGTCAAATGAGGCTTACGGGATTTGTCGGCGCTATTGGGATTCAAAGCTGGCCCTAACCCCTGAACCCTGAACCCTAAACCCTAAACCCAAAAACCCAAAAACCCTAAACCCTAAACCCTAACCCTAAACCCTAAACGCGAATTCCTATAAACCCTAACCCTGGCGCGCAGCAGGCAAGCCCCACCACCACCGGTTATAAGCAGTCTCCGCCAAGCTCATCCCCTTCGCCGGGACCTCGGCGTGTGGGCCTTGCGTAGGGAACCCTACCTAAACCCACAGGGTATATGAGGGTGTGGATCTTGCGCAGGGCGAAGGGGTGTCCTAAGCCCAGTGGGTCTTGAAGCTGGCTAAGGGTAGTTTCATGGTCTCTTGATACGGTCCCTTGGGGTTTCGGGTTTAAGGTTTAGGGTGTAGGGGTAGCTTCATGGGCCCTGAAATATGGTCCCTTAACCCTCTTTAAAAGGTTCTGATATAGCCCCTAGGTTGCATAGGGTATACAAGGGGGATATAAGGGGTCCCCTTGTCGGGGCCTGTACTAAGGGACCATGCAACTGCCCTAAGAAACTGTCTGAGGGTCAAAAAGCGAGGCTTGAACTAGGTCCACCAGTAGTACCTTTTTGTTTACCCTTTTTGTTTCAACGCGACCCTCAAATCCCTAAGCCACAACCCACCCTGTAAAGTAGGGGCTGATGTAGTCCAATCGCCTTGAGCTCTGCAGTTAGTCCCCCGTGCCTTGTGAAGTCGGGTCTGAAAAATATCTTCCGAAGAACCCACCGCACAAGGCCAACACCGTAAACCTTTGAACTACCTACCCCCAAACCCTAAACCTTAAACCCTAAACCCTAAACCCTAAACCCTAAACCAGCACCTACCCTAACCCTAAACCTTAAACCCTGGGATCCAGGGCCGTGGGGTCTTTCGGGGGCCCTGCACAGCCGATCTCAGCAAGTGATAGTTCTCATGTCCCCTAACCCTGAAAGATAGACGCTGTGGCTTAGGGTTTGGGGTTAAGGGTCTAGGGCTTAGGGCTCAGGGTTTAAGGCTTAGGGTTTGTAGGATTTTGGTTGTGAGGTGTTTGGAGAAAAGGTACGTGTGCTGTTGCTACGCTTGGATCGCCCAGCTACGCGGGAGCAAGAACAACTACCCGAATAAGCCCTAAGCCCTGGCACTTTAACTCCCTAGCACCCTCAATCCAGAAATCTCGCACAGAGTGTGAGGAACCCAAAAGGAAAAAACTTCACCCGAACCCAGTACCTAAACCGCCCTAAGACATATCTAACTCGAGTATGGAGGCTTTACGAGGCGTTAAGAGTTTTTGAGGCAAGGGTCGTTTCTGGAACCCTAAACCCTAAGCCAGCTAAGGTATGGAGGCGGCAAGTTGAAGAGCACCCACCCACCGGCCGAAAAGGCTGCACAGCGTCTTGGGGCTTAAGGTTCAGGGTTTAGGGTTTAGGGTTTAGGGTTCAGGGTTTAGGGTTTAGGGTTTAGGGTTTAGGGTTCGAAACGGTTAGCTACCAGCGAATGGGGCGACCAGAATCTGGGGTCAAAACAAGGATGTTAAAGGCCGCAGAGGGATCTCTGTGCTTTTTGTGGCTATTTAAGGGTCTATTCCTTGCTGGTGCTAGGCTCTTTGGGTTTAGGGTTTAGGGTTTGGGGTTTAGGGTGTAGGGTATACGGTATATTCCTTGCTGGTGCTAGGCTCTTTGGGTAGTTGAACAGCTGAGGGGGAGCCTACATTGGGGGACCTGGAGATTGCAGGGCCTCTCGCGGAGCTCGGGCTGTTTTAGGGTCCTGCCTTGCTAGCCCCAAAAGCTCTGCTAGTTCCAAGAATCTTTCAGACCCCCAAAACCCCCCAAAACCCCCAAAACCCCCCAAAACTCGCCAAAACCCCCGAAACCCCCCGAAACTCGCCAAAACCCCCGAAACCCCCCGAAACCCCCCCAAAACCCCCAAAAGCCCCAAAACCCCAAAACCCTTAAACCCCAAACCATTCTCAAGAAGTCTCAGACCTGCGAAAATACCGGGTTTTGGAGGGGTTTCTTGAAGGGTTCCGGGGTGGCCCAACCTATGTGAACTCCAACCCAGGTCCGCCCCGCAGTACGGGCTTGGGGTTTTGAGGGTTTTTAGGGTTTTTTAGGGTTTTTAGGGCTTTTAGGGCTTTTAGGGCTTTTAGGGTTTTTTCGGGTTTTTAGGGTTTTTAGGGTTTTTAATCAAGACACTCTAATGGGGACGCAAGAAATGGGGGGGCGTAAGCAATTGGAACCATTCGGGCTCATTTGGGCCCCTAAGTAAAGGGTATATGAGGGGTCCCCTTCTTTAAGGGCCCATATTCGGGGATCGTGTAACTTTTTTGGGATGTAGGCCCTAGCCCTAAACCCGACGAGCTCTTTTGC